TTCAGCCACAAAGTGCCTCCCATCAACTCGCTTGATGATGCAAGGAAGAAGGAGCTACTCGTGTTCGTCATGGCTCTCAAGCGATGGCGGCACTTCCTCCTTGGGCGTCGTAGGTTCACATGGGTTACGGACAACAATCCATTTACTTACTACAAGACGCAGGATACAGTGAGCAGCACGATCGGACGATGGATGTACTTCATCGACCAGTTTGACTTCACACCGAAACATCTTCCCAGCCTATGAAATCGCACAGCAGATGCACTCTCGCGAAGACCTGATCTTTGCGTTATGACACGTCATGCCTTCGCATTCGACGAGGAGCTTCAGCGACATTTCATCCGGGCATATGAGTCTGATCCGGACTTCGCCACGCTATATGCAGAGCTATCTTCGGATCACCCGCCGGCCAGCCACTATCGCATTGCCGACGGGTACTTACTCCTCCACTCAAGAGGCAAGGACTTACTATGTGTCCCACGCGACCGCCGTCTTCGGACTCGCCTCCTCGGCGAGTATCATGATTCACGACTCGCCGGCCATTTTGGAGTCAACCGCACTATTGCACGGCTTTGACAGCGATTCCGATGGCCCGATCTCGTTACCGATGTCACTCGGTATTGCGACTCTTGTGAAGTTTGCCGACGCAGCAAGCCCCGCAACCGCAATCCCTACGGTGAGTTACGCCCGATGCCTATCCCACGGGAACCTGGTCTCTCCATTGTCATGGACGTCACCGGTCCGTTTCCCCGCGACCGGCTCGGGCACGGCGGCATCCTCACGGTGGTGGACCGATTGAGCAAGTAAACGCGTTTTCTTCCTTGCAAGTACCACTCCACGGTTCCCGAGCTGGCATACCTCCTGCACATTGGTTGGATTTGTGGCCACGGTGTACCAGAAGATATAGTCAGCGACCGTGACACTCGCTTCATGTCGGCATTTTGGACTGCTCTCATGCAGGAGTCCAGAACGAAGATGAAACCAAGTTCGGCTCGGCATCCACAAACGGACGGGCAAACGGAGCGGGCACATCAAACCGCTCAAATGATGCTTCGTACGCTCATCCGTCCGGACCAGAAAGATTGGGTTGACCGTCTCCCCGACATCGAGTTCGCCTACAACACTTCGGTGCATCCGGCGATCGGCGTGACTCCATTCGAGTTGCGCCACGGTGGACGGAAAGGCCGGATCTTCGCCGACCTTCTCCTCCCTCGACCAGCCGACATTGACGCTGCCTGCTCTCCCGCTTCCGTCCGGAAGTACAGGGAATTGCTGACTCAAGCCTCCGCAAACATGCAAAAGGCTCAAGTCCGCATGCAGCAGCAAGCCAACAGGCGTCGCGTACCATGTCTCATCCGCGCCAGTGATCTGGTTTGGGTCTCTGCGGAAGAGTTTGCACTGGAACAGGATGTTTCACGCAAACTGCTTCCCAAGTGGTTTGGACCTTGGTCTGTGACAGCAGCCACGGGCGATGAGCCCGACGGCCCTTCATTTGTGATCAACATTCCAGAGCATCTGACGGTCCATCCAGTCTTCCATGCCTCGAAGCTGGCAACATACACGCCAGCCAAGAGCGACGACTTTCCGGGCCAACGATCGCAGGACCCTCCTTCTATGGATGGTCATCAGGAAGTTGACTGCGTCATCACCGATCGCAAGTACGGCAGCAAGCCGCGACAGTACAAAGTCACATTCAAAGCATGCGATCGCGACGACACTCAGTGGATTTCAGGCGCAGATTTGAAAGCATCCGCACCACTGATCTACGCGCATTATGAGAAGCGGAGGTTAGCTCAGGAAGCTTCACGACCAGCCCCKCCCACCCGGACTGTGGTCCCTCCCTCAGACAGACAGCTTCGCCCTCGCAGGTAAGCTCGGTCTTTCAAGGAGGGGGGGGTGAGGCATACTTCGTAGCCACACGAGCCCCGCAGGGGCCGTCCCGGACTGTTAGCCTACAAACCTAAAAGTTAGGGCTTACAGACCCCGGTCGTTTCAGCCTGGAAGCTGAAATACGAGGGCCTGTAGGCCCTATTCCGTTTCAGCCTATTTCTGGGTCTTTCAGGCCCAGAGTTTTTCCAGCCTGAAACGGAGGGCCTTTTTCAGGCCCTCATTATTTCGACCACCCCTAAGACTCAGACACGAATACAGGGTTTCGGAACATGCCAGAAATAGCTTGTTCCTCACGAGCTTGAGCAGGAGCTGCAGCTGCAGCCCCTGCCTGCCTTCGGCATTGGCAAGAGCAGCCTCTTGGACTGCTCGCACGAGTCAGGAGGCACACCCTGTAGTACATAGGAAGTTCCCATGCACTACACGGGTAGGTAGTTATCAGTAGGCACGAGTAGTCTTCAGGATTCGGCCGCAGCACTCAGGAGAAGCGCTGCAGTAGTCTTCAACGCTAGGTGTAGTCTTCAACGCTAGGTGTAGTCTTCGGCGCTGGGCGCCCATAGCCATAGAGTAATCTTCAGCGTTGGGCGCTGGTAGATGGTAGATCATAGAGTGGGAGAGATACTGGCGGAGGCCAGTGGTACTTACCTGTGGCGCCATCGCTCCAGATCCATCTGCGAGGTACCTGCATCAAGGCACCAACTTCATAGGTTAGTACTGGACACAGAGAGAGAGAGTTCTTCTTCTTCCTCTTCTAAGTCCACCATCTCTTCTCACCCTCTCACCACCTGACTTCTTAGACTATGATAGAGAGAGACAAAGTTGTGACTTGAGACTTGACGACATTGGATCTAGACTTGACATTTGGGATTCAGACATTTCGACGAGGGACTATTAGGGCCTGTGCCTAAGACCGGGGACCGGCGAAGACAGCAATTGAAGGGTCTCGCTCGAAGCCGGACTCACACAACATGAAAATATTTGCTTTAATTAATCTATTTATTTACTGCAAACATTATTCAAACCTTATGTGACATCCTGATGGCTTTCTGGTCGCTCGAAGAGACCCGACTAGAAAAAGTGAAACAAAAATGACGTCGTTGCAGGGGACATGAAAAATTTTCGTGTCTGGAAGGAGTCTGGGTCAGCATCAACTTTAAGCTTTGACTAGGCTTTGACAACTGTTGATAATATCTGAATTTTCAGATTGATTCTGACATTTTGATTGAGATATTATTCTCTTGGAGGTCTTAGTTGCTAACTGAATCTCATCTCTTCATGTGTGAGGTACCACACTGGACTGGAAAAGGAGACTGACATTAACTGTTGGAGAGGACCAGGCTTGATCAAAGGTATTCCTTATGAACTCTTGACATCCTTGAGAAATTGAGAAAGAAGACGACAAAGTTCATAAGATATCTGAGATGGATGACTCAAGAGTTCATGATATAGTAGCAGGGTCGAGAATCCGTAAGTTTGTCTTAAGAGACTCTGGCCAAATTCCTACTATGACCGCTAAAAGAGGAAAGAGAGGTCAGCCAACTAGTAAGATAACAGTTTTAGAGAACTGAAAGAAGAACAATTAGACAGTAAGACACTGCAAGACTGAAGTTTCACCAGACTCTGATTATCCTTGCATTATCAATTTAGTATGTTAATTTCCAGTATGTCAATTTTGACACGAGAAACCGAGGAGAGAACCTTTATGTGATTTATATTCATTTCTGCATCTGAATCAACTTTTCTTATTTCTTCTATTGACAGAATCAATGAGATTAAGGTATCATTGATGCAGAGCCATAGTCGATCCACGAGTATCAGATTCCTAAGTGAGGGACAACTGTGAGGTGCAGTTGCAGTGAGGAAGTGATGAGAGATCATCTTAACTCGGTATGATGCAGTATCAAGTTCAAAGGACTTGTGGCTGTAGCACATCAATGTGTAATAGATATTAAGTTCTCGTAATAAAGAGGAAGTTTGACGGACATAAAGAAGTTCAAGTCTACATCACCTGAAAGTTATCAGTAGAAGGACTTCATGTCTTCTAACTGAGTTGCATGTCCAAAAAAATTATCATGAAGATAGGCATAAAGAAGTTAAGCTTTGTTTGACCAGAGAGTTGTCAGCAGAGAAACTTCGTGTTTTTTTTTACTAAGTTGTCTATCTTCTATCTCTGATGAGGGAAGTGATTAGTATGTATGTACTTCCTTGAGGTTGGCGGGAGGTTTCTGGGGAGTAGATCTTATGAGGGAAGGGACCTCGCTGGGATCAGCACTTTGTATTTCTTGAGGCGGAAGGGAGGTATCTAAGAAATACACTGTCAGCTGTCAATTGTTGTTGTTCATTGCCTCTTGAGACTCAAGGGACGTCTTTTGATAAATGTTTGTTCTGTTATTTGGGCATGGGCAGCTTGCTTGTGGTTTTTGACATGCTTGTTTAATTGTCTGTGCCTGAGGTTTTCTTCTTTAACCTACGATGCGTTGATTGTCGGGGTCTGCCAGAGCCTTACCGCAGTAGGTTGCAATATGGTGGGGTCAGCAAGTCCCCTACTCGAGTGTCAAATTTCATAGTTGACTGAGGCTAATACTCCGGGGGTCTGGCCTGTGAGGTGAAGAGGGATCAGCTGGAACCCTACCGCAGTCAGAGGTTGCAATCCAGTGAGGTTCGCCAGGGCCTGGAATCATAGTTTGACCGGGTCCTCCGTTTAAAAATTTTGGCGAGACAACCAATGCCCTAGACCAAAAATTGGTGGGTGAGCCGGTCCCCGACCGCAATGGTCAGATCCAGGTACGAGACAGTTGGACTAACGGGAAGCCTGCTGCCATGGGGTGACCAGACCTGCTATAGTCTCGGCGTCCTCGCGTGAGGTGCGCCAAATGGTCATCATACTTTAGCAGTGGGTATGGTGGTCCTGACCTTAAGGCAGGTTAAAGGGGCAGTCAAGACAAATGGTCTGATTAGTTCTGGCGCGAGGCGAGCCAAATGAGGGTTGTCCGACAGACGAGAGGCCTGCCACCCCTGGCCAGTGGTGGGTCAAAACCAAAGCAATCAATAACTCTTGGGTGTGAAGAATTGTTTATATTATTTGGTATTTTCTTACGGGTCTTTAATTTTATTTATCTTACTTGATTGTTGTTTGACTATTGTTTGTCAAGGAGTTTGCATGTTGTGAACGTGTTTGGTGGTTTGTGGAACTTGTTGTTTTGCAGGCTTATGCAGGTTCATATAAAGTTCCCCGACCAGTGAGAGCAAAGTAGTGGAAAATGTGTGGCTTCCATCAGAGTGGAATGTTAGTCATATGCCTGCTGCTGCTAGCAGGGTATCATGACCAGTCAGACAACCATTAGAGTGGCGCTATCAAACTTTTGTATGATCTTAGAGCTAATTAACTACTGGCAGATGTTTATGATTCACTTGACAAAATCATATTATCTGTTGTCGTTTACTAGCAGTCGTTAGTTGGGCATGTAATTGATGGGATTATAGACTCGTGCAAGTTGCGTTTGATAGACGTTAAAGGCTAGATTAGACTCATTATAATTGTTGATCAGCCGCCGACACATGATCTGACTCGTCTGTTCGTTCATTAGGGAGACAACAAGATTCAAGCAAGTAGCGTATATATGATATGTTGATCAAAGAACTTAGTTAGAGGGAGTATTAGGGAAAAACTATCATGCACTTGTTAACCACAGATCAAACATCAAGAAGGCGATTGTAGAGTAATCAATTATTCTTGGTCGTGAGATGAAGCAATAAATAATGGACTTGCTACTTATACTTCTCCTATCACAGAGAAAGCAGTAAGCGGTCATAATCGGATGGTCGACTTCGTTTTCTAAATACAACATCTGAGTGGTTTTGGTCACACTACTTCGATCATCTGTGTTTGACCGTTAGCCTCTTGCGCCGACAAACTGCATCATTGACATTCGAAGTGCTCCACTTGAGGGCAAAGTAACGAAGATGTATGTAACCGCTTTACCAGTCAGATTAAAAAGAATATAGTGGTAATGATAGTAATAATAAATCATTGTACCAGAAAGCACGACTTCTGCCATGTAGCACTCTTGGAGTAGTTGAGCAAAGGGGAGTGATTTGTGCTATCCGTCTGATCCCGACGCAACAGGTCAGACCACATACGGAGTGACGTAAGAGCTCTTGCGTGCATCATGTGTTAGTGCATGGAGATAGGCCAAGTCTTAAGGTTGGGGGTGAAGAGCAAGAGAGAGAAAATGACACAGAGAATCGAGAGAGAGAGAGAGAGATGGGGATGAGACAGACCAAGAAGGCGGGGGCTCTAGGCGAACTAGATCGCCTTGACACGCCAAGTTCATTCACGTTGAAAGATACAAAAAAAGGCAGATGAGTCATTCCGCTCTGACTGCCATATTGTCATTGCGGTCGGGATAATCAGAGACGAAAAAAAAAACATTATAAAGAGAAATTGAAAAATGAGTATGAGGAAGGGAGAGAGACGAGTCACATAAAAAACATGTTGAACTGTAAGAGGAACGACTGAGGGTTTGAAAAATAAACTAAAATGAGAAATTCAATAAGGACTAGCGCACATGCCACGCACACTTGTGATCTACAATGATTCGTCAATTTGGCTGGGCAATATTGAACGCATGTGGCTGCACTTTGCAGCCACATTCATCACCATCGTGCATCAAAGACATAGATCTCCCTTAGTGAAAGTTTGAGAGTGTGAACCAATTACCCGTTCTCTATTTGATGGGTTAGGAGATTCAAACTCGCACTGTTGGTCAATATTGGCTTGTTCCTTTTTTTAATTATTATTATTATCATTTTTTTATGAACTCGGTTCAGTTATTGCGCTAAGTTCAAGTGACTCCATGACGCTGAGGGAAGGGAGGTAAGGTTGTGGTTTTGCGGTAGCCTTTAAGTGTTCGCCCAAGCCAATTCCCATGAGAAACAACATGGACCAGAGGGAGAGAGAACGATGTAAAAAAATAAAAGTAAGATAAAGAAAAATGAAAAATGAGAATATGGGGCGTAAAAAGGGACGGAACACTCAACCCCAGGACAACACTTAGGATCAAATGCAACCTGGGAAGGC